AAGACTGACCCAGGTGTCGTGAGCTTGAGCTCACCACCCTCCTCACAAGCTGGCACACTCATGGTGCATGCTCACAAGTGCGTGTGCATCCTGTGCGCACACACAACCTGCGGCCAGCCCTGCATCTCGGCCTGGGCAGGATCTCAGGCCTGGACTCTGGCCTGCAGCCTCGCTACGGCCAGGGGACTCCTGTTCAGCGTGTGTCAGCACAAGACCCTCTGTTCAAGTGGCCTGTCCCTCGGTGGACTTGGTGGCTTTTCCCCGTGGCAGTGACAGGGCTACGTGAGCATCCTTCAAGGCTCTCTGGGGTCAGCACCCCAGAGACAAGCCTCCTTTCACACTACAGGCCGCTTTGGGGACACAGCACAGGGTGGACCTCCAGGCCACCTCTCATGCCCTGTGTGTGTTGACCAATGGCAATATGGTGCTGGCTGGCAGTGGACCCCAAAGCACTGGCCTCACAGTTTGGGCACGGGTGCTCTTCTAGGGGCCTCCCCCCCTGGCAGAGATGTCCCCACCTGACTTGGCAGCGTTGTGGAGCACCGTGGACCAGCCCAGAGGGCACCGCCACGCTGTCGGGCTGTCAGATGAAGTCGAGCCACGCTCTGGTGGTGTGAGACCCACTGGCCTTTAGACACACCAGGGTCCCAGGAGAGTGAGGGGCCCTCTCTCCACAGGCCTTGCCCATCCGTCTGATCAGCCACAGAGCCCTAGCTCGCCTCCCGGCACGGAGGAAAGTGAGGGAGACCCAGACCCAGCTGTCCACGGGCCTGCAAAGCAGAGCCCAGGCCCAGGCAGCAGCACTGCAAACCCCAACAGGCGGCCGTCTGTTAACGCCCCTCATTTCCTGTCAAGGAAAGGCATGATTATTCTGGCAGAAAAGAGCAGATTCCCAAAGCCAAACCAGAGAAGAAATGGAATTCCTCAGAAAAAATTCCAGATGACCCTCAGCTGCTGTCCAGCACCCTGTCCAGGGTACAGAGTCCTTGACACTGATGGATGAGGCACAGTGCTTGGTGCCCCACAGGTCCAGAGCGTGGCACGGCCAGCCGTGAGGGCTGTGGCTGTGTCCTCAGCCTCAGCCTCCCGGGCGAGCACTGAGGGAGTCACCCAGACACAGTCTCGAAACGCCACCTGTGCGTGGTGTCCTTCCTGGGGTGAGCACGTCCACACCGAGGCACGCCCGTGTGCAGGCATAGGCTCACATGAGCCTGCTCACACAGGCACACACGCTTGCCTGCCACACACATGTGACAGCTGCGTCCCGTGGTGTCTCCAGAGCATTCTCGAGACGCAGTAGCTCCTTCGGAGGGAAGGTCACAGCGCCTTGGGGAAACAAGGACAGCTTCCCTCCAGAAATCCAGCAGACGCTCAGTGTGCCCTCTGTGCTTCAGGGCCAGCGCCTCTGGTCACACTCACGGTGTCCCGGGCAGCCGGGGCTCCCAGGACCCCAGAGAGCGCCCCGTGGACCTCTGCTGGAGCTGTCTGGCTCCCTTCCCTTGGCCCCCAGCCTTTCAGCCCCCCCCCAGCTTGTTCTTCCTTCTGTTTCAAGTGGGAGAAGTCCTGCGTGCTCCTCAGTCAGGGCAGGAAAGGGTGTTTGCAGACGGAAAAATAAACCCACTGAATGAAGAAAGGAGTTTACCTAAACAACTTGAGAGCAAGCAAGTGGCTGTAAGGTGAAATGGGAGTGTTTTATTGTTCTTCCCTCCCCTCCCCCATTGTCCCCTAGGATCAACTTCACAGTGTGGCTTCCCTGCAGCCACAGGGTCCTTTCTGCAGAGTGACGACAGCCCTCCTTGCAGAGTGTGGGCTGCACTCCCAGAGCCGCGGCGGGTGTGAAACGAGGGCCCAGGGCAGAGCGGCAGGGACCCTCTGGGTCCTGCAGGACCAGCACTCACCACGCAGGGTTCTCACCTCTGTCCATGTGGTACTCAGTCCAAACCCCACCCCTGTGGTGTCCCCTGGCTAAGGCACCAGTGTCCAGGCACATGGAGAGTGTGTCTTGCTGGAAGCCAACTCCTCGAAACATCACCTTGCATGAGCGTTGGCGTGTGGGGGAGACGGGCGCTGCATGGTGAGCGCGTCGGGCATTGCAAATGCTCCAAGCCTTACGGCAAAGGCAGCCTGGGAGTGACAGGGTCCCACTATGGCTGCCAGAAAGGGCGGGTCTTTGAGGTGACCAGGCAGGCCAGGCTGCCAAGGGCTCTGCGTGGACTCCATGGGAACCCTGGGAAAGCTCATTGGCCACAGACTGCAGGCCACTCCACAGACCGCCGAGCCGCGGCAGCAGCAGAGACGGCAGCTGTGTCCCTCCTGGGAAGCTCTGGCTTCCAGGGACACCTCGTCCTGGGAGGACAGACACTGAGCATTCGCCCTGAGCCTGGGCTACGAGGTCCCGGGGCTGTGGAAGAGAGGTGGTCAGAGCCCGGTGTGTGCACACGTGGGAATGCACTGTGTGGGCGAGATCCCAGCTCCGGGCCTCGCCAAGCATGCGCGGACACTTTTTGTTTCTTAGGTAAGATGTGCATTCAGCTTCCTTCCAGGACTCCCCAGTCCAGCCCCATCACTCCCTTTGTTGCTCTGTTCCTAGGCTTCCCAGTCTCCTGCACTCACACGGAGGCCCGAGCCTGGCCTCCAAGTTCTCCAATCCCGCACACATCTCCACATCCACCGCCCACAACTGGGGTGCAGGCCAGCACTCAGCCCTGGTCCTGCTGCCGAGGGCCCCCCCACAGCCCCAGCTCTCACTGCCGGATGCACTCCACTGCCTGCAGTCAAAGTCCTCATGATCTCTGCTTGCTCTCTGTCCCTCCCTGATGGACTCCACCAGGGCACCCAGAAACCCCAGACCAGCCTGCGTTAGTGAGAGGGCCCCGGAAGCACAGCAGTCTCCTATCCCCCTTAGACCTTGGGCAGAGCTGGGGCTGGTGTCCTGCACAGCACGGGCCCTTAGGGGGTAGGTCCTGTTACCTAGAGCTGCAGGGCCCTCCACTGGGACCATGAGCCTGCCCTTCAACCTGAGTGTCACGGGCCCCTGTCACCCAGTGACATCTGTCACTTTATGGGAGACAAAAACCTCAGTGCTCCTTATTGGGGATTTTCTCCCTTCCCCCCAGCAGAAACCCTGCTAATTCTTTTTAAAAAAGGGAGAGAGATTCATTTATAGAAAACCTTCTTTATAATTTATTTCCTGTTGTTGATCTTTGAAGTATAAAAATGAGGCTCTAACTAAATGCAGGGTTTCAGTGGTGAAATTTTGATCATGTGAACAAATAAATAAATATTTACAATCTTTGCAAAACAAATATTTTCATTAACCTATATGAGAAGCTTGTTTTTTAAAAAAGACATAAATAATTTACAAATCATATAGTACATTCTGGGTGTTCACATCCTCATCCCGCACCCTCTCGCCACCTGCCAGCCCCCAGAAGCCTGCACACGCTCTGCTCAGCATCACATTTAATGAAGTGCCCCAGGCCTCGAGGTTCTGGGAACTTAGGTCCACACAAGCGGAAGTGCAGCAGACAGAGCTGTCACCTTGGAGTCAGCAACGACATACCGCATCAACGTGAAGTGTGTTAGTGGAGACAGAGAGGGCTCCCCCATTAGACACAGACAAGCAACCACATGGACAGACGGGAGGCCCTGCCCCGTGCCAGCCAGCCAGAGAGCTCTCCACGCACCCTGGGGAGGAGCGGGCATGGCCAGTTCGTGCAGAGACCCTGCAGCTCAAAGCAAGGACGAAGCAGACATGTCCATTACTGTGTGGCGGATGGCTGCGTGTGTCTGGCAAGACCCCCTGCTGAATTTTCTTCAGCATCCAAATTAAAAAGTTAAATGTACAGCAGGTAGGTAACAGCAAAAAATGTTGAATTGAAAGTCACTGGTAGCAGTATATCCTAAGGTCCCCTTACCAGTTACGCAAGCTACCTGTTAACCCCGTGCCCTTCACATGGTGCCTTAACATGGCGCAGTAATAGTATAAAGCCTCAAATTTAGACAGCAGGTATTTGGCTGTAACTGTCCTTATATTATTATGTCCTTGTTACGTGTTTATTTCTTGAAATCATGCTACATACATGTTATTCGGAATGTTTGAAATAAGTTATTGGCAGCTGGAGTGCATTCTTTATTCACTTAATAAATATTAGCCAGACACAGCTGAACCCTTAATGCAATGGGTTCCCAGAATTAGGTAAAAGCGACTTTCCCAGTTTCCAAAACCTAGAACATGAATTGGGCACCACGTGCACTGGCTGGCTTGCCAGCTTGTCTCTTCCCCAGGAGCAGAGACCAGGCAGAGCCAAGCAGCAGCCCTGTGCAGACAGCAGCCCCATGACGCTGGCCAGGACACTCACCACACTGCCGCAGGACCAGCGGCTAAGCAGAGGCACTTGCTCTGCTGAACTTCCACCCCAGGGAGACTCTACCAGGCCCCAGACAGAGCCAGGGGAGGCCCATTGATCAGAGGCAGTCCCTCTTGGTGTCCCACCAAGTGTGAGGTTGTCCACTGTGGGCTGGCGGGTACCTGTCGGCTTTTGGAGCAGTTTTCCATAGGTGCTCGGCACCTTGCATCACTCGATGCTGGCCACAGCTGTGTGACAAGCATCTGCTGATCTCTGCCTCATGGGACTGCCCGCACACCTACCTGACCCTCCTGATGGACCTCAGGGTTTGGTGTGTCGGTGGACAGCACTAACCCAAGAAACGTCAGCACTGGGCGTGGTGGAGCAGGACTTTTCATGCTTAATTTATGTTAACGACCTGTGCACAGTAACCCTTCAGCTCCATGTGCACATAAATACAGTAAGTACGTTTCCAACGTAAACGTCATTCTTAACAAACAAGAAAAGGCAATGAGTCTGCTCAAGCTCCACTCTACGGAGTCCCAACGGTCCTGCCGCTCCCCTGCACCGGGTCAGATGTTCGGCTCTGGGTTCCCTCAACGTTTGCCCTCTGGAGGCACGTGGACTTGGGGTCGATGCACAAGGTGAAGAACCAGCCAGTTAGGGTCGGAGAACAGGAAGTGCCGCTAAAGAGAGAGAAGCTGCAGGTGTCAGGATGGGCCGAGGTGTCTGGGGAACAGCATTCGCATGTGGCTGGGAGTGGCCGTCTCGCCTAGCCATCTGAAAGAAAGCAAGAAGCAGAGTTAGGGTGACTGGGCTGGGAGGCGTTCTATTCCATTTTACCTACACCTCATATATTATTAATTTTAAAATGACATCAGTAGGATGGGTGGGTGGGTGGGGGGGTGGATGGGTGGATTGATGGTAGATGAATGGATGAATGGATGAGTGGATGAGTGGATGGATGGATGGATGGATGGATGGATGGATGAATGGATGAGTGAATGGGTGGATGGATGGGTGAGTGGATGGATGGGTAGATGGATGGATAGATGGATGGGTGGGTGGGTAAATGGGTGGATGGGTGGATGGGTGGATGGGTGGATGGATGGTAGATGAATGGATGAATAGATGAGTGGATGAGTGGATGGATGGGTGGATGGATAGATGAATGGATGGATGGAAAGGTGGATGAATGGATGGATGGGTGGATGGGTGAATGGATGGATGGATGGATGGATGGATGGGTGGATGGGTGGATGAGTGAATGGGTGGATGGATGGGTGAGTGGATGGATGGGTAGATGGATGGATAGATGGATGGATGGATGGGTGGATGGATAGATGGATGGGTGGGTGGGTAAATGGGTGGATGGGTGGATGGGTGGATGGGTGGATGGATGGTAGATGAATGGATGAATGGATGAGTGGATGAGTGGATGGATGGGTGGATGGATAGATGAATGGATGGATGGAAAGGTGGATGAATGGACGGATGGGTGGATGGGTGAATGGATGGATGGATGGATGGATGGATGGGTGGATGGGTGGATGAATGGATGAGTGAATGGGTGGATGGATGGATGGGTGAGTGGATGGATGGGTAGATGGATGGATAGATGGATGGATGGATGGGTGGATGGATAGATGGATGGGTGGGTGGGTAAATGGGTGGATGAGTGTATGGGTGGATGGATGGGTGGATGGATGGATGGAAACATAGGATGTCCTCAATGTCACCCTAATATAAGGAAAAGAAAACTTTACCAGAAGCAAGCAGAGAAAGAAGACTCTTGTCTTCCCTCCCTTTTGCTTTATATGAGATTTTCCATGTGCGAACTTTGAGAAGCATCTCGAGTCTCACTTACCTCATCTGTAAAGGCATGGAATTAGACTAGACAACAGTCGAGTTCCCTTCCAGTTTTATGGTATTTTAATACACTTGTAGGCGTATAACTAGAAAGAAACTCTCTTCGTTTCTCCATTTTTTAGCAAGGTCAATCATCTGAAATGCCTTTGGAGGCCCAGAACGTGTGGCCAGCACAGCAAGCTGCAGGCTCTAGCTCGTGGGGTTAAGCCTTATGAATGATCAAAAAGTGTCTGTCCTACAAATGCTTTCAAATTCAACTCAAAACCACAAGCAAACTACAACAACACCCCCACAGCCGCGCTCCCCCATGAACCCAGCACTGGGAATCCACGACCCCCAAGGCACAGCCTTGCATGGGTTAGCTGCTTGGGCACGCGGCTTCTGTGACGGGAGTGTGGGACGCCAGCCCCTGACGGCGGACGCTGGTGTGCGCTCACCTCTGCATTCGTACTTGAGGTCCGAGAAGTAGACCATCTCTTGAGAGAACACAAACAGACCCAGCCGTCCGCCAGCATAGGTTTGGTCATAGATTGGTCCTGAATCCGCCATGACCTGTTTCCCCTCGTGCACTAGGACTCTGCAAATAAGGTTGGGGTGGAAGAAGTTGAGCTCCGTGAAGCTCTCACCGCTGCTCAGTGTGCCACAGCCTCTGGTGTGCAGGGGCCTCTGCCTGAGGGACCAGAGCAGTGTGGAGGGTGAGGGGCCCTTCCCCTTCCCTGGACGCCAGGTCCTGCCCTTGAGCGCAGCTCCATCTCTCACATCTCACTCACACCGTGGGCGCCCGGGCCTCTTCCCACCATGAGGGGCCGTGAGGGCAGCGCCGGCCCTACTGTCCCTGCCCTGAGCAGCCTGACATGTGGTGCTCTCCAGGAGGACCCAGCGTGATTGAGTGACGGGGCCCTCCGTGGGGCCACACACCCCACCCACAGAAGCCTGGGCTCCTGGCTTCTGCAAAGAACCCGAGGGCCTGTGTGAGCTCAGTGCTGCAGAGCTTGCCCGGCAGTGCTGGGTCCTGGGCTCAGCATAGCAAACAGACAGAGTTCAGCTGAATCTCGCCTACTAACGTCGCAAGACATTGTTTTAAACTGTTCACATCTCATTTTAGTCAAAATCTATTACAAATGCAATATGCAGTTGGGCCATAGAATGCACATCTGTTGCCTTGAGAGTTGTGAACAATTTCACTCAAATACACGTCTCAGTCCAGCCAGGCACGTGTCAGAGGTGACCAACCACCAGGGGTCCAGGCTGGGGGAAGCGCGCAGCCTTTCCGGGCAGGTTGTCCTCAGTGGTGGCCCTGCCTCGGGTGTCCCTAGAGAGGGAAGACGCCCCCCCCTCTCCAAGATACTTTAACAAGTTTCATTGTCTACTTTTCAACAGTTTTCTTTTAAATAAATGAAATATTATAGAGATACGTCATTTATTTAAAGAGACCTTCTAACTTTGAGGACCCAGAGGACAGCATTTCCTGGGTGTCGCTGTCTCTGGACGAGCCTGCCGTGTGCGGGGAGGCGGTCCTGCGTGAGGATCCTCTCAGAAGAGCAGGGGCCTTACCTCATGTAGCCTGTCTTGGGCCGGTGGGTTAGATGCCACCGGTAGGCAGTGTAGTCTTTCCAGCCGATGTTTTTGGGGTCATGCCACAGGGTGCGAACCTGAGGGGAAGACATCACTCTTGAGCCCGCTGGGCGCCCTGAGCCTCCCCCCAGGAGTTACCCTGTGACTCTGTCCCTCCATCCCTGACACAGTCTGCCACACAGACACCTGTATCTCACACAGCACTGCATGTGAGGCATAATACCGTGCCGAGGGCCACGTGGCTCAGTGGTCAGGACCCAGGTGCTGGCCCGACAGTCATGGACCTCTGCCTCCTCAATTCGAGACTGAGGGCAAAACACCTACAGCTTGGAACTCAGTCCTCCCTGTCTCACAGACAGAGTAGACACAGGTTTAATTGGCAAGAGGAGTTCCAATCCAGTTTCTGGAAGCACCAGGCACTCAGTAGTGGTCACTAAAAGGACTGTCACTTAGTTAAGATTCACAAGAGCAGGCCACCATGGGAAGGTGTGGGGACGCAGGCCGAGTCTGGGGAGCTGGCGCTGGCCGCTCACCTGCCCCTCTGTGTTTCCCGTGTGCCACAGAGCGTTGCGCAGGTGCTCGCCTGTGCCCGTGGTGGAGTTGACCACCTTGAGGGACACCCCAGAGTAGCCGTAGGCCCGGCTGGGCTGGTCCTCCCAGTAGGTCTGGGTGACCTGCTTCCACATCACCACGTAGAAGCGGCTGCTTGACTGGTAGCCGAAGACGAAGCCTGCGTAGTCGTCATCCCTGTCCGTGTTGACGTAGAACGTGCCGCTGAAGTCCACGGACCCGAACTCGTCGAAGCCTGCACTCCAGAGGGACACGCGGGGATCCGTGGGAAGCACTGGGCACCCCACCGGCCCCCGCCAGGTCGTGGAGAGCTGCCTGGGAGGCCCTCAGACACTCCTTCTCCTCCAAGCGGGTTTGCAGCGTGAGGTCAATGAGGGGATCTAAGAGACTGTTAGGGCAGTTTTCCCGGAGGAGCCTTCACTGTGTGATGTGACGGGACAAGATGGCGTGGCAGGGCACACTCGGGCACCCCGATCCCTGGCCAGGTGTGGGCAGATGGCCTCACACACGAGCAAGCTGGGGCCTCCTGTAGTGGTCATGCTGATTCCCGCCCGCGTGACCCTGCAGGTCCCTGTGGGTGCCTGGTGGCATCTCCCGGGTCTCAGGCTTACCTACAGCGATGCCGGGGTCTGAGTTAGCCGTCTGGACCAGCTCCTTTCCTTGGTGACGGATGACCCAGTTGGGGTCAATCTGGGTGGTTCCCTTGGGGTCCAAGGGGACCATCTGGAAGTTCCTGAAGTCCGTCTCGCTGATGGCATAGTTTTCAGGACACACATCATCGATGTCAGGGACTTTGTCATTGTCAAAATCATCTTTACAGATATCACCTCGCCCATCACCTGTTCGTAAGGAGCAAGCGGAGACAGGGACACGGTGGGTGGCTCACCGTTTCCTCCCGGGGGAGGGGACGGCTCAGGCCCTCTGAAGTCCGAGGCTGCGGAGGCAGGGACGTGTCTGAGATGTCCAGCTTGGACCTCTGAGCACTTCTGTGGGGCTTTTCCAGGTTCCTGGGGTTCTGCACTGAGGAGGGCAGCACAGAGCTCCCCGCCCGGCCGGAGCCCCTGCTCTCCCCTGCGCTGGGGCCAGGAGGCCTGGGCACCTTCCAGAGGGCCCCGCGGAACCCGGCTCTTCAGTGGCTTCCTCAGCGGCCACTTCATCTACGGCAGAGCTCCCACACAAACGAGACTCTCCTCGGGGTGCTTGGGCTTCCTTTTGGGGGGACTTCTGGTCAAATTCTCAATGAGACCGGAAGGGTGGGGCTGCATACCCCCTGAGTATGCAAAGGGAGATGGACAGGGAGACTTCAAAGCTGCCCAGTCCGGGGCCTCGTGGGCCCAGCGCGGTCACCTAGCCCATCGCACTGCGGCTTGTTTTAGAAGGAGGGAAGGATGTCCAGCTGGAGGCCAGGCCTGGCCTCTGGCTCTCCCCTCAGGCCTCACGCCAGGGTCCAGCTCTGCTCAGAGTCGTATTTCCCTGCGAGCACCAGGCACGCTCCCGTGGAGGACGTTTTAAGACACGAGAACACTCGGGTGCGTGTCACCTCCTCCGCCCAGCCCCTGGGTGAGGGCCCCAGTCAGAAAACCCGCCTCCCACAGGGCAGCTGTGGAAGCCCCGCTTCTGTGCTCCTGAGTCCACCCAAAGCTTGGGGTTTACGCTGAATCCCTGCTGCTGTCCAGGGAGGGTCCCCAGAGTGCCCTTCAGGTCTCAGGGAGTCTCCCGTGCGCTTCCTTCTGAGTGAGGCTCAACGCCCCAGGATCCTGCCTGCCCCCTTGTAGGGACGTGCGTCTTCCCAAGGGCACTTGGGTCATCAGCTCTGCGCTCCCAGCCACTTGCTCCTATCCTCCCAACACCAGTGAGCACAGCGGTGCACCGTTTGCTGTCCGGAGACTCCACTAGGGTGCCTTCCTGCCTGAGATCCTGGACAGCTGCAGACCACTTACTAACCGTGGCTGCTGGCAAACCGGGCCCAACTCCCACTTCACACCGAGTCCTCCTGGTGCCTCACACGCCACACGCACTCCTTTCCGAGAGGCTGTCAAAGGACTGGGGCTACCAGATGCCCAGATCCCTCATCATCCCAACATGCACTCATACCTGGTTCCGTCCTCTGTGGAGGACACAGCAAGAGGCCAAAGCCCCAAGGTGGGCTGGGAAGGCTGGGCCTCACCCCAGGGCCTCCTGTGGCAGAATCCTTGCGGTCCCTGGTGGGCGGGCCACAGGGACTGCCACACAGTTCTCTGCGTTGCACACGTGGGCCAGGGGCCTACCATTCGAGTCCCTTTCACCCACAGGCCAGGGACCTACCATCTGGGTCCCCCTGCACACGTGGGCCAGAGGTCTACCATCAGAGTCCTCCTGCACATGCGGGCCAGGGGCCTACCATCCAGGTCCCCCTTGCACACACAGGCCAGAGGAGGCAACCCTGCGAGTCCCCCTGCACCAGTGGGCCAGGGG